TGTGTGTGTGTGTGTGTGTTTCTTTTCCTCACAGTTATCTAGCTGAGATCAGGATCATCCATTTTTTATTTTCTGATCTTTACTAGACCATTCTGTCTTTTTTTACAGGGGAAATAACTTACTGTCTTTTTACTGTTTCTCAAGATGTATATCCCTTAAATGACAGAGATAGTAAATCCACTTGCTGGTATTTGGAGGCTGTGGACTTTGCCTGAATTACTTGGGAAGAGGTTTGAGAGCAATAATTTCTATGTAATAACTCTGAATAAAAAATGACCACACTGTCTCTAATTTGTGAATTTCTCTGAACTTTAAAGCTCTTCATTGGAAATTGAAGGTTCAGCAGCTTTCCAAGTGATAAAAGGAAGAGCCAATAGGAGATATTTTTTTCCCGTTAAAAAGCAGAAATAATGGCCACTATGATTTCATCCTGGAGTTCTCATGGCGCAGTGATCAAAGCATTTGTCCACTAACCAGAAAGTTGGTTGTTCCAATCCCGTAGCCTGTCTGTGAGAGAAAAATGAGACAGTCTGCTTCGTAAAGATTTACAGCCTTGGTGATTCTAAAGGGCATTTCTACTCTATCCTATGGGATTGCTATGATTCAAAATTGACTCAATTGCAGTGAGTTTGATTTTTTGATTTTGGATCATATCATCCAGTGTTTTTATTTAAGAAACAAGTTATTACTAAATAATCATGCATTGTGGTAGCTGGAAAGAAGGCAGTTTGCATGAACTATTTCCAGAACACGTGATCAAGAATTTAGGATCAATCATCAGATTTTCTGATATGATTCTTCATATCATTATTCTTTCAAAAACTTGGTCCAATCCCTATAACTTGTATTTTCTATATCAAGGGTGCACTTGGAGGCATTCTAACTGGAATCATCTTGTCATTTTGGGTGGCTATCGGAGGCTTCATTTACCCTGCACCAGCCTCTAAGACATGGCCCTTGCCTTTGTCGACAGAACAGTGTCTTCTTCCAAATGTTACAGAATTATTGCCTCAAGAGCTGTCTAGCAGGTATGCTCATCTTAAAGCTTATGCTGAGTCCTAGAGCTAAATTCTAGAGAGTGGGTCAGCAGGTTAGAGGTAAGTGTTTTCTACAGGGATAAATTGGATGAAGTCTATCTTGCGCTCTCGTGAGGATCAGTGTGGGCTGTACTCAGCACTGAAGAACACACCGCAGGGCTCCAGCTTTGTACAAGTAAGTGTTATTTTATTCAGATGTGTATCAGTGAAGGGGCAAACATGTTAATTGAAAGCAGGAAGAACAGTGGAGCATTTGAAAATGAGTGAGTGAGTGTGAGGATCATAATGCTGTTAAAGGAAAAGTGATCTGGAGAGAATAGACTTGTGAGCTATGAGGGAAATGACCATGGCCAAGGTCCAGGAAAGTGAAATTATCTTATTTTTTCTATTGACTTTCCTCACTTCTCTCTCATCTTTCTTTTCATAATCTGTTCTATCCAAGATGCAACTATTTTTATTTTCCTGATGCACCTTTGGATTTCTTGACTTGAGAAGACTTTACTACGTTTTCTAAACCAATGATCCTTCCATTCATAAAACCTTTCTATAGCACTCACATCTTGAACCCCCACTTAAAATGACCAGTGAAACACAGACCCTACTACAGTCTCCTAAGGCAGCCTAGGCATTGACCGTACCCCCTTTGTGCCATAAATCATATTTGACTATTCTGTCCCATTCTATTCTGTTCTCTTGTTATATGGAGTCTACTCTACTCCAATCCACCCTATTCTGTTCTGTTCTATTCTTTTCTGTTCTGTTCCCAACCTTTATTTTGTCCTACCATCTCATTAGACAATAAAGTCCTTGAAGTCATGTGATATGTCTGATTCATTGCCTGAGGGAACACTGTATGAGAGAAGCACTGAATAAATTTAAGTTTCTTCCTACTCCCTTTCTTATTCCCAGAAATCAGCACTCTTCTTTACTTTCATCTCATACACCATCTTTGCAGGCAGAATGTAAGTTCCATTACGTAGGATGTCACACAGTTCTGAAGTTTGACTGTAAATCCAGGTCATAGATCCTTGGGTATAGGAAGCACAGGCATGTTAGAAAAGGAAGACTCTAGCACAGATTCATCTGCATTCTCAAATGATAGTAAACAAGAGGGAGCATTTCCAGTGGTACATGAACCATAGTGTCTAGAAATCTATTTTTAAAATAAAAATAAAGCAGCTCCATCAATATGAGATTGCTGATTGAGGAGAATGTAATCATCTGTGTATCACGTTTTTCATCACCTGCCAATTGTAAATGGGCAGTTTTCCTTAGGATATAAAATTAAGCAAACTGCCTTTGGGTCTTGTTTGCTAAGAACCAGCCAATAGGACTGTGGTGACAGAAGTAACAAAAGCATGGCTTAGCTGAGAAAGGAGATTAGCTTTATCTATACTCATACGAGATCTTTGTGTAGACTTTATGGGCAACATTTTCAATTCAAACATATTTGAAACTGCTCTTAAAGAGACAGCCAGACTGCCCTCTTTTGTTAGTTTGTACACTCCTGACCTCTCTGGCAATGTCACTGGAGAAACTACTATAAACTACATTGGAGAATGAAGTGGATGGAGCACAGCATAGAGCATTGAGTAGATGCTCTCACTCTGTTACTTTGCCACTACCTACCTCTGCATTTCATTTATACAGTCACTTCCCCCCACAAATCTTATGGTTCAACTATATCAATCTATTTATATTTTCCAGCTTCCTATACTGTTTCTTCCCTCTCTGTCTACTCATTCTATCCTTCAAATGCTAAACCTTGGTCCTGAAAATCCTCTTTGATTGATTAGCTATTAACACCAGAAGGCTGGCGGTTCAAACCCACCAGCCACTCCTCAGAAGGAAGGTTGGGCAATCCTACTTCCGTAGTGATACTGCCTCGGAAACCCAAGGAGGGGTCGCTATGAGTCGGGGGCGACTTGACGGCACATAACAACAACAACAATTCTTTAAAAGTGAACTGAAGTGTGATCTCACACATCATTCTGGATTGACACTCTTCCTGAATGCTCCCACCATCTCTTGGTCCTATTCTACAGTACTGCCACACCATTTTGATAATTATTTCTTAGCTTCATGAATGTAGACTTTACAGCTTACTTTTCTTTAAATCACAAATGTCTATCACCATTCCTAGCACTAAATCTTGGCTTAGTGAATGTTTTCTGAATAAATGGCATAAAAGAAATGGAATTCATAGTTCTCATTGCAATGAAGGAAGTCCCCAGATTAGGAACATCCACTTACAGACAACTCATCCTTTAATGTTATGTAAATTTGCCCTTACTTTGAAATGATGGAACCAACAACTCCTATTCACGACAAATTCTTCATCACAATCATGTTTATTTGTCGCGTGTGCAGCTTTTAGATCACTGACTTTTCTTGCACTAAAATTCACTGTCATCAAGTCGATTCTGGTTCACTACTACCCTATATGACAGAGTAGAAGTGCCCCACAGAGTTTCCAAGTCTGTAAATCTTTATGGAAACAGATTACCTCATTGTTCTTCCGGGAGCGTCTGATGTGTTTGAACCAGTGACCTTTTGGTTAGCAGCTAAATGCCTTAACCACTGTGCTACCAGAGCTCATTTCTTGTACTAAAGTAAGGCTTAAAAAGAACTGTGTGCACCTGTTCTGATTTATCAACAAATTTGACTTAAAGACACACTTAGGGATGGATCTTGTTTGTAACCTGTGGACTACTTGTACTTATAATTCAGTGGGTTGTATGGAGACTAGTCTAGAATCAATTAAAAATATAAGCAAACAATAAAAATCCAAGCTTTGGAGTTTGGAGAGGTGACAGGCTCTAAAATGAACCTCCATTAGTCTTCTAAGTCACTGTGAATCATAACTTCAGAATTACATAACTGGTGACATGTGCTGTTGTCCTTCACAGACCTGCCATAGCTGATACCTGGTATTCACTCTCCTACCTTTACTACAGTGCAGTGGGTTGCCTAGGGTGCATTGTTGCTGGAATGATCATCAGCTTAAGAACAGGTTGGTTGCATAGATCACTCACTTTGTGGTCAAGGAATATGTAAGGTATTCTCATCATATTGGTGTGAATTTGAGTCCACCAAAAATCCCATCTACCAAGAGAGATCAAGAGAGATGTGCCTACTCTCTCCTAGCTGACATGTAAAAGCAAGCTCCTGGTTTATATCCGTATATGTATATATATATATATGTAGAGATAAGCATAGATACATACATATATATATATATATATATATATATATATATATATATATGTTGTTGTTAGGCTCTGTCAAGTTGGTTCCGCCTCACAGTGACCTTACATATAACAAAACACTACCAGGTGCTGTGCCATTCTCACAATCCTTACTATGCTTGAGCCCATTGTTGCAGTCACTGTGTCAGTCCCTCTTCTTGAGGGTCTTCCCCTCTTTCCCTCACCCTCCACCAAGCATTAAAATAAGGTAGCTCTGGTGACATAGTGCCTAAGGCATTTGACTGCTAACTAGAAGGCTGGTGATACAAATCCACCAGCCACTCCTCAGAAGGAAGATTGAGCAATCTACTTCCATAGCAACACACTTCAGAAACCCAAGGAGGGGTCACTATGAGTCCAAACATATTATGTATGTATATTTTAAAAAGTTGTTTTGATACATTGTCCCCAAATTTCTGAGTTTGAAAAAGACTGTGCAATATAACAACAGTAAATGCACTGCTGTCGAGTTAGATAGCGACCCCTCCTTGGGTTTCCCAGGCAGTATCACTACAGAAGTAGATTGCCCAACCTTCCTTCTGAGGAGTGGCTTGTGGGTTTGAACTACCAGCCTTCTGGTTAGCAGTCAAATGCCTTAGGCACTATGCCACCAGTGGGATGATAAAATATATGGAGTGGCTTGCTTCTTCATTTCAGTGAGAGACTAGAGTATTTCCTGTCACCACATTCGTTCCTCGTGGCATCAGCCTTAGCTAATCTACTGGAAGCAGAGGAAAATCTTACTGTCTACTTTGCACTCGACCATTCCTTCAGGATCACGGAACTCTCTACAGCCAGCAGCTTCACTATAAAAACGACTTTTGGTATCAGTGTTCATTTTGAGCTATTGTCCATCTGACGGTTCATTGCTTTTCTTAACCCATGAAAAAATAGTGACAGGAGGTGGGGTAGAATAGAGGCACTGCTACTCTGCATCCTTGAAATATATGTTTTAGCTCAGTAAATTACTAATACATTCCACTATGCCACTATTGGGTTGCTATGAGTCAGATCCGACTCCATAGCAGTGAGTGAGTGAGTGATGCCACTATCACTATCTTCTTGGAAGCAGGAACCAATGGGAAGTCACTATTCCAAGTCAACAGATAAGCTGAACAACCGAATTTCTGGAGATTGTGTACTGGAAATGTTACATGCCGGCTCCAATGCTTTATTACTCTGAGCATATAGCACCAGTCATTTACATTTAAGATGGCGTTGTGTATGATAAAGAGTAGAGTCCCTAGGAGGTGCAAACAGTTAACATGCTTAGCTGCTACCCAAAAGGTTGGAGGTTTGAGTCTACCCAGAGGCTCCTCGGAAGAAAAGCCTGGTGATCTACTTCCAAAAACCTAGCCACTGGAAACCCTATGGAGCACAGTTCAACTCTGACACACATGGGGTCTTTGGAGTCAACTTCATGGCAACTGGTTTGGATGATAAATAGTAGTGCATCAATTTTGTAATCCCAGCTTTCCATCTGGTAACAAACAACTCCCCAAATATCTTTCCTTATGTAGTGTATTCAGATGAAAAGCCATTACTTGTCTGAACTGCAAATTTCAGTATATTTAACAATCAAGCCCCACTCTTTGAAGAGGGACCAGTTTCTGTCTAATAACTGGTCAGGCCTATATTCATTTTTATACCAAGAAGTGACCTACTTCTCAAGCTAACAATCATCAAATTCTTAAAAGAATTCCCTGACAGTGTGCAACCACTTAATCCAGCTGTCCTTTCTTTAATAGGTCATCAACACAGCAAAGATATTCAACCACTGTTAATTAGACCAGTATGCAACTTATGTTGCTTTTGGTCCAAGAAATACAAAACCCTATGCTGGTGTGGAGTTCAGCATGACAGTGGGACAGAGCAGGTGAGTTGGTATTTCAGTTTTGGAAAATTCTGTGCTTGACTGAATTCTGTATTTGCTTGTGTAGGCCAGCTGCCAGGATGGGTGTGGGAAGGGAAGATAGTGAATGTTAGAACCTGAAAGAGGAGCTCTGGTAGCATAGTACCTAAGCCACCTGACTGCTAACCAGAAGGCTGGCAGTTCAAACCCACCAGCCACTCCTCAGAAAGAAGGTTGGACAATCTACTTCTGTAGTGATACTACCTCAGAAACCTGAGGAGGGGTTGCTATGAGTCAGGTCTGACTTGACAGCACATAATAACAACAATAACAAAACCTGAAAGAATCTAGTTTCAACTTTGGAATTAGTTACTTGATTAATTTTTAAGCAAGAAAATATGTTGGCATTGCAAATGATCGATTTCCAAAGTTACTTTCAACTCCAATGAAGGTGAATTCTTGGAAAATATAGCAAAATAGGGGGCATTGTCTAGTAAAAAAGCATAATCTAGTTATAACATTAACAAATCTTGTTAGAAGTATATGCTTTAGAATCAGACAGCCTTGAGTTTCATCCCAGCTGTTCTATTTTCCTTGGGCAAATTATTTAACCTCTCTGAACTTTTATCATCTGAGAACTGGGTGGGGGGCAGATCATACAGAGTGATATGACACCATGGGGTACAAGTACAAGGTAAGGTTTATTAGGGAACTTTATAAATAGAAAAGCAGGATGTATATTACCCTAACCCCCCAATTCTGCTTATCCCATTAGGGAGCATATTTAGTCCAGGCAGGTTAGAGCCATCCAAGTATCAATGCAGTACTAATCAGCCAAAGACCATCAGCAACAGCCTACAGTCTAACAGAATCAGATTTATTGACTCAATGTGGAGAGGGAAGGCACTGCTGAAGAACCAGGGAATACCTCCCTCACAGCAAGAGCGTGGATGCATCTTTCATAAGGTTCAGGTTCCTACTGAAGGAAAGCAAAGCTATTTGGGGCAGAATTTGTAGGAGAGCAATAATCACTCCAAAAGAGAGGGGGGTATGGCATTTGACAACTACTGCAAGGCCTTAGGAGAAGTGACATTAACTTGTTAACTTCAAAGCTGGCCTTATCTGTGTCTGTCCTATGGCCTGATCAAGGGCAGGGCTGTTTTTTGTTTGTTTGTTTGTTTGAGCTTATTTTCACTCTTCTGGTTCCAGACACTTTATTCTTTTAGGACTCTAGAAAAGGGAATCCTAACCCACATCCCTTTCATATTTTTAAGTTGTCATTGCTTTCCTACTCAAATGATGTCATGGTGACATACTGTATCAAGCAAAACAGAATGTACTACTTTCTGCTGAATGGGCAAGTGCCACCTTGACTGAGGCTCATAAAGGGCAGGTCCAGTGCAGATTTATAGGATTCTGAGCTCACGTGGTTTAAGACAGATCTCTAAATGCAAGGTTCTGATTGGGACTGAGGAAAATTGGTGGTAAGACAGTTTAAGATTGGTGAACACAGGTGCAAGTCCTAAAATCAGTCTTGGTAAGTGAACAGTGGCTCATTAAGAAGGGGGTCTGCTGCATTGAATAATCTATCATCCTGAGAAGGGGCTGTTCACCTAGATGAACAATCTATTATGAGTCCAAAGCAGTTGGCTAAGCAGTCTATTGTTCGGATAAACAGATTTTGAGGAAGTGCTGAAGCAAAGAATGAAGGTACTTATTGTTTTCCAGGCTTTCTGAGCCAGATTTCCTAGAATAAAAAAATGAACAAAAAATCCTGTTGATACAGTTTCCTGAGTTGAGAGTGGGAGGGAAAACTTGGTTTGTCAAAATCAGTCTCCTTTGCCAAAGTAAAACCTTAGCAACCTCCATGGGAATTTACAAAGGGTAAATATCTCTGTTTTCACAGGTAGGAAGAGGGGTATCACTACCAGAGGCATAGATTTTTCTCTCCTCAGGAGATAATACACTCCCTACAAGATTACTGTACTAAATGAGAGGTGTACAAGTTTCTTCACACAACATGGGACATATTGTAATGCTCAAAAAATTCTTGTTTTGTTGAAAACCCTGTGGATATTTCAAAGTTCTCTGACATGTAGGAGGTTGCCATTCAGCAGCAAATGGTTTAGTTTGGTTTGAACTGAGGCATCAAAGCTATCAATTAGAAAGCACCTTGAGTCAGAAGTGTTTCTGCTGCTTTTGTAAGATGAATGTTTGAGGGGGAGGCCCAGCAAGATTCCCTCAGGTTGCCTGGTTGATCAGTACTCTTTTATTAATTCTTGTCTTTCTGTTTTCCTTAGGAAAACCTTGAGAATGGCAGTGCCTGGAAACAAGGGGCTGAATCTCTCCTTCAGAATGGACTCAGGCAAGAAAGCCTGGCCCATCCCACTGGCTACGATCCCAAGGACAAATCTTACACCAATCCGGGGTTGGAAAAGATTACCCATTTCTAAGGCAGCATATGCTCATACACACATATACACATAATCCACATATTTCCTGTCTATTGGTTAGTAGACTTATATAGTTGCCACTGCTAGAGAACAGAGGCCACTTCCAATGTCAAATCAAAAAACCCACTGCTATCAAGTTGATTCCAACTAAAAGCAACCCCCACTGGGTTTCCAAGTTGGTAATTCTTTATAGAAGTAATTTCCCAGTCTTGCTTCCATGGAGTGGCTGGTGGTTTTGAACCACCAACCTTCTAGTTAGCCAGATGCCTTAGGCACTGTGCTACCAGAGCTCCTTCAATGTCTATATATACTTATTTATAACTACAAATAGAATAAAATGAGTGATTCCCAGAATATTCTTTGGGAGACCCCAACTTCAGATGAGGAAAAATAGCCAGGCTTTTTATAATCTGGTGGTTTCCTTCTTGAATAAAAGACTAAGTTTCATTGTAACTAAAGGAATGAGTCTCTTTGCTTCATGTCATACTGAATTTCAATTTTTATTTTTTTAATATATCAAATATCTCAGAATTTAGAGGCAGAATGGGAAAGAAGAACATGGACGGACACCACTGACAGAACAAGGGATTCAGTCCTCCACACCCAATCACACCTCACCGTTATGTAGAATTCCCCGCCATAGTACTGTTGCGGTTGGAACATTTAACTGCTATTAACACACCCCACCTCTACCTTAAGTCTTACTCCAGTCATTCCTGTTACCACAGATGTCCTGACCAAACCTTAAAAATAATTCAGCTAAGCACAGCTGTAGAGTCTGGTGTGTGGGTGAGTGGGAGCAATTATAACTAAACACTGTGCTCCCTTCCTTAGTGCAGCATTTCTTCTTTCTATAACCTTACAATGAAAAACTGACTTCTGTGCTCATCAAGAAGCCTCAAGGGAGATTTCAGGGTTGGATGAGGGTGAGAAAAATGTCCCATAGGAGGCTGTTAGGACAGCAAGATGTAAAATAATCTTGCAAGTAGCTTTCTAGCCAGGAGAATAAAGCCTTAAAAGAAGGATAAGGGGAAAATTATACATCCAATATTTATTACTAGAGAAAGATGATACAAAGAGGGAAAAGAATCAATAGAAGGATTTAAAAAGAAAAAATGGGGTTTTGGTGTTTATAAACCACAGCCCAATACTTACCTTCTCTCCTCCACTGCACCTTACTTTTTACCTCCACGCTCAAGTAAGAGAGGAGAGAAAAGGCAGAGGAGAACTGGGCTGTGGACTGTAAGAGAGATGAGAAAAAATTTGGGAAAGGAGAGAAGAAGTATAAAAGGGGGTATGCTTGGAGAAATACCTGAAATGAGAAGGAGCAGAATTTCAGGAATCATTACTGAGGCCCAACAAGGCTAATTAGGGTCTTGACATAAAGGTCTGCAAGGTGGGAAGTGCAATTGTTCTTCAAAAGTTTCAATTGTTATGAAATTCTTACAAATTAGAACTTTTTAAAAATAACAGCTAATAATTGAAATCTGAATCAAACCACAATGGCTTATTATAAAAAAAAAGCTTACCATCTCGTGATTGAAATAAAAACAAAAGAAAAACACTGAGTTTGAAAGTGTGTGTGTGTGTGTGTGTGTGTGTGTGTGTGTGTATACATATATATATATATATATATATATATATATATATATATATAATGTGATTTGGAATACATTTCAGGGTTGTGAATTTTTATTTGGCAATACACAAAAACAAAATATATCTTACGAGTTTATTTCATTTTACTCACAAATTCTGTGTGACATCCTTAAGACTATTTCACTAGGTCAGTACTTTTCCCAAAGTGCTTTTGAGGAATCTCTTGCTTTTTAATCCCCTAATTCTCTTACCCTAAGTACTATTAAAATGTCTTAGAAATGGGAGATACTATTTTTATTATATTGTTACTATTAAAACAATATGTCTTCTCTTGTATAATGGAATTTATAGTATTATGACATTACCTTGAAGAACTTTAAGAGGTCAGTATAGGGATTTCCCACCCATTGTTCCACATTGAACTAAACAAGCAAAAATCAGTGTTTTGGGTAGAAAATGGATGGGAATACCCAGGAAAGCTAACTTGCATGGGGTATAGAAACCATATTTTCTGTGTAAGTGCACAGTCAATAGATGCAGCCATTAGTCCACTCTTATGCTCATACCACCTTAGCAATGTCAGCCCACAGTCGCATCAAGGCAGCTGGTATGTTAATGGATGTGTCCAGTGACAAGTTCAGTTGAAGCAAGTTCAATGGAAATGGGTTAAACTTGTGGCTATTTTTTGCTGTAGAATGACTGTGAATAGTCTCAATAAATGAAGTTATGGGTAACAAGTTCTTAGAATGGCCCACAATGTGCTAAACTTTATGCCGGTTTGTTCCTTTTAAACACAGTTACAGATATCAGCAAAAAAGGAACAGAATTACTTCTATTCCTCTTTCTGGTACTTAAGTTGTGTGTCAACTTGCCTGGGCCTGGTTTCGAGTGGCTGGGCAGCTGGATGTTGTTATTCACCACAGTGAGACTGGTAATCACCTCCATGGTGGAATCTGCTGGAGCATCTCAGTATCTGCCTTTGGGAGGTGGTCTGCTTCTAGTATATAAGAAGACAACATTGAAAAAGGTCTAGAGCTCGGAAGGAAGGTTGGGCAATCCTACTTCCGTAGTGATACTGCCTCGAAAACCCAAGGAGGGGTCGCTATGAGTCGGGGCCAACTCGACGGCACATAACAACAACAACAACAACAATAACTATAAATCTCTAAACATGGGATCGTGCATGTAGCAGTGTCGTCATCTCAGTGGCCTGCCATGTTGTCTGCTGATCTTGGGACTGTTAATGAACTTGAACTAGTGGCCTGCTGTATTGCTTGATAATCTTGGGACTGTGCCATTTTACTTGTTGACCTTGGGTTTGTCAGCCTTAGAAGCCAGCAGCCACCTGAGCTAAGAGACAACTCCAGCTTCAGTGGGATACGGTAAGGAGCAAGGGGCAGACCTGACACCCAAGGTTGAGGGGCTTTCACCCAGCCCCTAGAACTGGCACTTTTGAACTCAGACTTCTAACCTCCTAAATTGTAAGAGAATAAACCCCTGTTTGTTAAAGCCATACATTTGTGGTATTTTCTGTTAGAGCAGCACTAGATAACCAAAAATTCATTCCAAATGAATGTATTTTCATGATTGACATTGTCTTCATCTCTATTTGGAGCAAGAAGCGCAGCTTATTTATGAAGGTCAAGGATTACCATCAAAACTTAGTTTAGGTGCAAATGCAAGTTCCAGCACAATTATCTTGGTAATCTTCGGCAATGCTTTTTACACCTAAGTTTATTCACCAACTAAATGCTAAAATTGTCTTTAATTAATAGGGTTATTATGAGTATTTAAGAAGGTAAGTCATATAAAGTATTTAGGGCAATGAATGACCTCCATGAAACACTCAGTAATTGTTGTCAGCAGTATAAAGATATTTAATGTAAAATGTTTCAGTGTTTTTCTCCAGCATTTGCAAGACATTGGCTGAGTGGATATATTACTGGAGAAATTTGACAATTATAAATAAGAAAACAAATATAAGGTATAAATTAAAGTTATGGCATAAATTTCCAGATAGTAGTTTTTTTAATATAAAAATTTAAATAGATTTTTCCAAAGAGTAACTTTTCCAAAGGTCCTAAATTCTTGAAAAAGAGAAAGCTATTGTTGTAAATATAGACCAGTTTATTACTGAAAAATACAATATTCATAGTATAATTATTACATTTGTACATGTAAACCTTGATAAATAAACAGCATCTCAATCCAAATTTATGACTCAATGCAAAGTTCAAAGCAACTATAAATCTCTAAGCACAAAAGAACAGGGTGGGGAACTCTCTTTGTGTAATTCCAATAACACTTGTTTAATATGAATTTTATTTTGAAATTTGATGGACTTATATCATTTCATTCTAAAGAGAAAAAGAAAGAAACCACAGACCACGAGGCTTTCAAATAGTATGTCAAAGTAAATATTATTGAAATATTTCATGGTATTACAATCTTAATCAAATAGCAATTACAAACATCAGATCAGTGAATAGAAAAAATAGAGATGTCTCTCTTTGTCAACTTAGAAATCAATTGTTTTAAAATATTACAGAAATTTCAGGCACATATACACACATGTGCATATATAGAAATCTCAAGTGCTCAGCCTCAATATTGCAAAGTAGCTAGCTTTAGTATAAACTTCTTTTATCCAACATTAATAACCTTAAAGTATAATCTGTTTTTTCAGACAACTACAATTTCATCAATATTATCAATGATAATATTAAAGGAATAAAAAAATCTAAATTAGTCTACTATAATTCATAATTGGCAGTAAATTATCAAATAGACTATTTTTACTTGTAATTCTTGGAAAGAGTTAATGCTGTTATTTCCTCCCCTTACCATGGGTAGGACACCAGATCAATCCAGATTTGGGGTTGATATCTTTAGGGATAACACACACTCAAAAGTCTGCTTTTCGAAGACTGCACTTTTGGTGTTTGAAATAGCTATCTATCTTCAGAAGACAAAATGTCAAACATAAGTATTTGGCTCTTTAATCACACACAGGTCTCACTTGGGATATCAATGTTTCAATTTCTCTCATAGTAAACTTGCATACAGACTAGAAAAATAATGCTGCTCTAGGGAGGGAAATGGTAGCTGATAATGATATTTTTCTCTCTCAAAAGAAATGCAACATGATGCTTTTTAATATTCATGTTAACATTATCATTAGAGACATGGAGTACTTCAAAATTTAATGTTGTGTTTGAAGTTCATGGGTGGTAAAAATGGTTAGCTTGCTTGGCTGCAAAAAAAAAAAGTTTAGAGGTGTGAGTTCTAGAGGCATCTCAGGAGAAAGGCACAGTGATCCACTTCTGAAAACTCAGCCTTTCCAAACCCTACGAAGCACAGTGCTACTCTCACGTACATGAGGTCACCATGAGTCAGAACTG